GAGGGCAGTATGGGAAGGGGGAAAAGAGTAGCCAGTGAAATACTACACCAGCAAGGTGATCAAAGTGATCAACAGTCACGGTGATAGTATGTACCCTTGATATAATGTGATGAAAAGGGCACATTAGTTCCATGACCTTCCTCCCTCAAATGTGTAACACCAGCCTAACCATGAGGAAAACATCAGAAACACTGCAACTGAGGAACATTCTACAGCATATCTGACCAGTACTCCTCAGAATTGTCAAGGTCATTAAAGTAAGTAAAGTCTTTGATAAATATCAAAGACAAGAAGAGCCTAAAAAGACATGACTACTAAATTTGACATGGTATCCTGGATTGCATTACAGAACAGAAAAAGACATAAGGTTAAAAACTAAGAATATTTGAATACTCTGGACTTTAAAACAATTTATAAATGAACTTTATAATACTTTATCAACATTGACTCATTAGCTGTAATACTAATCTGTTAGTAATAGGAGAAACTGAGTGTGAAGCATATGGGAACTTTCTGTACTATCTTTGCAAACTTTATATAAATTTAAAACTGTTTTAAAATTGAAATTTATAAAATGGAAGACAAAATTACCTTTGTTTTTATCTTCATTTATTCCATTTCCATTGTTCTTTATTTTTATTTATTGTACAGACCCAAGAATTTTCTGGTAGCATGTTCCTTCTTCCAAAGGACATCCTTTAATATTTTTTGTATGTCTCTTGGCAATAAATTCCCACATTTTTGTTTGAGAAAGTTTTTATTTCTTTTTCATATCTTGAAAGATATTTTTGCTAGGTACAGAATTCTAGGTTGAGAGAAGATATTACTTTGTTTTTTGTTTTCTTTTGACTCTTCTCTTTACATTTCAGTCTGGGTAATTCTATGGATGGATTTTTATAACACTGTACAGGAGGCAGTGACCAAAACCATCCCCAAGAAGAAGAAATAAAACAAAGCAAAACAGTTGTCTGAAATGGCCTTACACATAGCTGAGGAAAGAAGAGAAGCAAAAGGCAAAGGAGAAAATGAAAGATATACCCATCTAAATGCAGAGTTCTAAAGAATAGCAAGGAGAGAGAAGAAAGACTTCTTAAATGAACAGTGCAAAGAAACAGAGGAAAACAACAGAATGGGAAAGACTAGAGATCTCTTCAAGAACCTTAATAGACACCAAGGAATATTTCATGCAAGATGGGTACATTAAAGGACAGAAACAGCATGGACCTAACAGAAGCAGAAGAGATTAAAAAGAGGTGGCAAGAATACACAGAAGAAATGTACAAAAAGGTTTCAATGACCTGGATAACCACAATGGTATGATCACTCACCTAGAGTAAGACATCCTGGAGTGTGAAGCTACATGGGCATTAGGAATCATTACTATGAACAAAGAGGTGATGGAATGTCAAATGAACTATTTCAAATCTGAAAAGATGATGCTGTTAAAGCGCTGCATTCAATATGACAGCAAATTTGGAAAACTCAGCAGTGGCCACAGGAATGGAAAAGATCAGCTTTCATTCCAATCCTAAAGAAAGGCAATGCCAAAGAATGTTCAAACTACTGCACAACTGTGCTCATTTCACATGCTAGCAGGGTAGTGCTCAAAATCCTTTAAGCTAGGCTTCAACAGTACATGAATCGAGAAAACCCTCAGATGTACAAACTGGATTTAGAAAAGGCAAGAACCAGAGATCAAACTGCCAACATCCGTTAGATCATAGAGAAAGCAAAGGAATTCCAGAAAAACAGGTACTTCTGCTTCCTGACTATGATAAAGCCTTTGATTGTGTGGATCATAACAGACTGGAAAATTCTTAAAGAGATGTGAATACCCCACCACCTTATCTGCTTCCTGAGAAATCTGTATGCGGGTCAGGAAGCAACAGTTAGAACTGGACATGGTACAACAGACTGGTTCCAAATTGGGAAAGGAGTACGTCAAGGCTGTATATTGTCACCCTGTCTATTTAATTTACACACAGAGTACATCATGCGAAATGACAGGCTGGATGAAGCTCAAGCTGGAATCAAGATTGCCAGAAGAAATAAATAACCTCAGATATGTAGATGATACAACCCTAATGGCAGAAGTGAAGAGGAACTAAAGAGCCTCTCAATGAAGGTGAAAGAGGAGAGTGAAAAAGCTGGCTTAAAACTCAACATTCAAAACACGAAGATCATGGCATCCAGTCCTATCACTTCATAGAAAATAGATGGGGGGAAATGCAAACAGCAACAGATTTTATTTTCTTGGGCTCCAAAATCACTGTGGACAGTGACTGCAGCCATGAAATTAAAATATGCTTATTCCTTGAAGAAAACCCATGACAAACCTAGACAGTATATTAAAAAGCAGAGATATCATTTTGCTGACAAAGGTTCATTTATTCAAAGCTATGGTTTTTCTAGTAGTCATGCATGGGTGTGAGAGTTGGACCATAAAGAAGGCTGAGAGCCAAGGAATTGATGCTTTTGAATTGTGGTGTTGGAGAAGACTCCTGAGAGCCTCCTGGACAGCAAACCAAGATCAAACCAGTCAATCCTAAAGGGAATTAACCAGAACTGTGGTGTTGGAGAAGACTCTTGAGAGCCCCCTGGACTGCAAGGAGATCCAACATCAGTCCTGGGTGTTCACTGGAAGGACTGATGTTGAAGTTGAAACTCCAATACTTGGGCCACCTGATGCGAAGAGACAACTCATTGGAAAAGACCCTGATGCTGGGAAAGACTGAGGGCAGGAGGAGAAGTGGACGACAGAGGATGAGATGGTTGGATGGCATCACAGACTCAATGGACGTGAGTTTGAGTAAACTCCAGGAGTTGGTGATGGACAGGGAGGCCTGGCATGCTGCGGTTCATGGGGTCGCGAAGAGTCGGACACGACTGAGTGACTGAACTGAACTGAACTGATTCACTGGAAGGACTGATATTGAAGCTCCAATACTTTGGCCACCTGATGTGAAGACCCAACTTATTAGAAAAAACCCTGATGCTGGGAAAGATTGAGGGTAGGAGGAAAAGTGGGAGACAGAGGATGAGATGGTTGGATAGCATTATCGGCTCAATGGACACGAGTTTGTGCTAACACCAGGAGATGGTGAAGGACAAGAAACCCTGGTGTGCTGCAGTCCATGAGGTAGAAAAGAGTCAAACACGACTGAGAACAGTAACAGCTTCTGTTTACATTTCAGTTTGGGCAATTTTTACTTACAGTAGACCTATAGGTCTTCCTCCTGCCAGGCCTTTAGTGTAGAGTTTGAGTTAATTTAATTAAGAACTAGGCTGAGTTTGTGTTTCATTGTTGGTATTGTTACCTTCAGTATAGTTACCACAGGCCTCAAATGCCTCTGGGGGCAGTGGGAGACTGGTTTGCTAGAGGTTTTTTGCTTGTTTTTCCCCCAAAGAAAAATACTACATTCTCAGTTTTAAGCTTTCTCCTTTGTGTTATGCATTAGGCTGTAGCCTTCTCAGAAATTCTGCCATGATTATGGCACTGTTCCTTCTCCTTCACTGAAGGCTGAGAGAATTTCCCTTTCCCATTTCCCCAGTACAGTGGAAATTCTCCAGTCTCCTAAGGGTGACCATTTGTGTTGTTCATCTCCTCAGAGATTAAGACTCCTATTCCATAGGAGTGAAACAGAAGTACCCAGAGAAAACTTTTTGCCCATACTGTAGTGACTGCTCTTCCCTGATCCCAGTTGTATACCAAACAGGAGATTTTTTCAGAACATTCCCAATTTTTTCTGCAAGAGAGCTTAAGACTTGCCCTATATCACTATCCCAGAGGTTTTACAGAGCTATGCCAGTGAATACTTGGCCTCCAGCAATTCACCAACCACCCTAGCTTAACTCATTACCTGTGTCTTGCCCGGGTGAGTCAGTGCTCCAACGTCCTCTACCTGCAGTATCTGTCCCTTCCTAGAGACTGGGCTAGCTGGTTGCCCTGAAATCTCAATACTACAATGTGTTCAAGGAAAACTATGAACTTGCTCGTCCAACATTTTTTTAGTGTAATGCTGGGAGCAAGTTTTCAGTTTTCTATATCTCTGAATGAAAAAGTACTTTACTTTTTGACTTAATGAGTTTTAGTTCTGGCTCTCTTGCACTATGTTGGACCAGTACTGACCTTTCCCTTGGTCTCCTTATCTTACACAGTTTGAGATTCAAATGATACAATGCATACAAAGATGTCTGGGAACCCATAAAGTATTATACAGTGTAGAATAATTATCTAAACCCTGATAGCACTCCTTAAAAATTACTTAAAAATCAATCAAATTGCAAGTTCAGCAGCTGCGTAGTAGAAAGACCACCTGGGACATCACATTGATTGATCGTAGTCAAACAGTTGAAACTTGCATATATAACTTTTTCTGTAGAAAGCTAAGGTGATAAATGTTCTCCCCTTCTTCATAGACCCCAGGATTCAAAACCAAACGAGGCTGGAACATTGTTAAGGGCTAGAGTGGGAATACCTGTATTCTTCATAGAGTTAAATGGGAAGGTTATTTGAGAAGGAATAAACAAAAAAACTTATTAGCAGACGTTTTGATGCATTCTTTCCTATTCTACAATAGTTCTCTTTGTATGTAGAACTTTCTAACAAATAAGAGTTTTTTTTTACAGAAAAGAATATGCTAAAGATACTGAAAGTATGAAAAGCACAGAGGAGTACTTAAGTCAAGTTTAATTTATTAAATTGAGGATGAGATCTCTAAGTAAAGATTACAGTCCAGTAAATGAAAATTAACATAATAACTTCTCCATATTTAGCTTTAATTTTAAATAACCATTAAGTAGGTTTATCTCCGGTTTTTTTAACATCTGTTTCTGTGTATTCAAAATAGACTTGTCTCTTCAAATGCTAATTTCCAGTAGAATTACTCATTAGGAAAAGGTCTAGATCTCATAGAAGTACAGAAAATTCCAAAGGAAAACATAGCCTATGTATAAAACGCATGTTTTAAAGAATGAAATTTAAGAAAGGTTTAACATACCAGTGGAGGCATCATGCCCTTGCTGGAAGGGGGGATGACAACTCGAAGATCTGGTTTTCGACTGTTCATTCCGAGACTGCCACCACCTGGAGGAGGGGGAGACTTTGTAGGCATAACTTTGCCTAAACTATTTGCACCAGTAGTTCCGATCAAATTTGGAGAAGCTCTTGAGTTTACAAATCCATTCCCTGGAAAAAAGGGAATTCACTCATTACATGAAACGAGTCATTAAAATATTTTGGTACAAATATGTTTTCCTCAGTCCCAGGTTTCAAGTGATTCTTATAATAAAACTCATAACCATGTTATCTTTGAATAAGCAAAAAAAAAAAAACAAAACAAAAACAAACAACCTAGTCTGAAATACATTAAGACTAACACCACCTGTTTCCAGCCTTACTACTTGGACCTGCTGAGAGAAACTTGAAACACAAGGATGTTCCTAAGGGATCTCTCTGACGGAGGACCAAGATGATGGGGGATATAAGAAGATGCCTGAGACCAACCTATTCATCCATTCTCACAAGAAAACAAGGGCATTCCTACTAAGTTCAGGGCATCTCCTTAAACTGAAGCTTATTTAGCACTCAGCTCTAAAGCCTTATCTTCACCAAGTACTTCTTTACAGCTCTACCTATAGCTGTTCTATTTCTTTAGCTGCCAATCAGGTCTTCATTATATACCTGTGATTTCTATAACTTTAATCATCTAATTCCTACTTTTTAACTTTCCTTAGGAATTAGAAAAATAGAGGAAAACAAAAGAATGGGAAAGACCAGACATCTCTTCAAGAAAATTAGAGATACCAAGGGAACATTTCATGCACAGATGGGCTCAATAAAGGAAAGAAACAGTATGGACCTAACAGAAGCTGAAGATATTAAGAAGTGGCAAGAATACACAGAAGAACTATACTCAAAAGATCTTCATGACCCAGATAACCAAGATGGTGTGATCACTCACCTAGAGCCAAATATCCTAGAATGTGAAGTCAAGTAGGCCTTAGGAAGCATCACTATGAATAAAGCTAGCAGCGGTGATGGAATTCCAGTTGAGCTATTTCAAATCCTAAAAGATGATGCTGTTAAAGCCCGACACTCAATATGCCAGCAAATTTGGAAAACTCGGTAGTGGCCACAAGACTGGAAAAGGTCAGCTTTCATTCCAATCCCAAAGAGAGGTAATGCCAAAGAATGTTCAAACTACTGCACAATTGCACTCATCTCACACGCTAGCAAAGTAATGCTCAAAATTCTCCAAGTAGGCTTCAAGAGTACATTAACTGTGAACTTCCAGATGTTCAAGCTGGATTTAGAAAGGGCAGAGGAACCAGAGATCAAACTGACAACATCCGCTGGATCAACAAAAAAGCAAGAGAGTTCCAGAGAAACATTTACTTCTGCTTTACTGACTACGCCAAAGCCTTTGACTGTGTAGATCACGACAAACTGTGGAAAATTCTTAAAGAGATGAGAATACCACACCACCTTACCTGCCTCCTGAGAAATCTGTACGCGGATCAAGCAGCAACAGTTGGAACTGGACATGGAACAATAGACTGGTTCCAAATCAGGAGAGGAGTACAACAAGGCTGTATATCGTCACCTTGCTTATTTAACTTATAAGCTGAGTATATCATGCCAAATGCTGGGCTGGATGAAGCACAAGTAGGAATCAAGATTGCTGGGAGAAATATCAATAACCTCAGATATGCCTATGACAGCACCCTTATGGCAGAAAGCGAAGAAGAACTAAAGAGCCTCTTGATGAAAGTGAAAGAGGAGAGTGAAAAAGCTGGCTTAAACCTCAACATTCAGAAAACTAAGATCATGGCATCTGGTCCCATCACTTCATGGTAAACCGATGGGGAAACAAGGGAAACAGTGAAAGACTTCAAAATCACTGCAGATGCTAACTGCAGCCATGAAATTAAGACGCTTGCTCCTTGAAAGAAAAGCTATTACCAACCTAGACAGCGTATTAAAAAGCAGAGACATTACTTTGCTACAAAGGTCCATCTAGTCAAAGCTATGGTTATTCCAGTAGTCACGTATGGACGGATGTGAGAGTTGGACCATTAAGAAAGCTGAGTGCCGAAGAATTGATACTTTTGAACTGTGGTGTTGGAGAAGACCCTTGAGAGTCCCTTGGACTGAAAGGAGATCAAAGCAGTCAATCCTAAAGGAAATCAGTCCTGAATATTCAGTGGAAGGACGGATGATGAAGCTGAAATTCCAATACTTTGGCCACCTGATGTGAAGAACTGACTCATTGGAAAAGACCCTGATGCTGGGAAAGACTGAGGGCAGGAGGAGAAGTGGATGACAGAGGATGAGATGGTTGGATGGCATCACAGACTCAGTGGACATGAGTTTGAGTAAACTCCGGGAGTTGGTGATGGACAGGGAGGCCTGGCGTGTTGCGGTTCATGGGGTCACATAGAGTCGGACACAACTGAGTGACTGAACTGAACTGCTAAGCAAGTCATCTGGATATAAAATGCTCATCAAATAATTTTACACAAAAGCAGGAAGGTTTAATAGAAACCAACAGAATGGAAGATTGACATTAATAAGTACAGATTAAAAATATTTCTCTTAAAAAAAAAGGCATGAATGTGTTCTTAATTTCTCTGATAATATATAAAAGATTCTTATTTACTTGATTTGCACTCAAACCTGAAGGATAAAGCAGTATTTCCTCTCAAGTACATTATAAAATGATGCAAAGGTATAATTTAGAAAAATGCATTATCAAGAAATACTTTTTCCATGAGGAATCTATACTATTTTTCAGTTAGATATGGTACCAGAGTAACCCATGAGAATCAAATTACAAGAATGAAAGGTGACCTAAATGCATGACATTTCTGCGTGTGAAGTTGGAGTCTGCAGCGGATGATTACAAGATGATGTAATAAGCATTTGGTAACTTGCCAGACTGAGACAGATATACCATTCATTATTTTGTGGAGTATAGTGATATACTACCTAACGTATGCCATCTTACTTCCAGTTCATTTTTTATGACCAAAAAGAAGATATTGTTGGGACAGACTTTTTAAGTATATACTTTTAAGTATATAACTCATCTTGTCACAGCCGATAAATTTAGGAATAAAGTACTGACTCTAAATGAATAAAACCAATATAATGTGACTTTTATTAAAATGTGTTTTCAGGTTTTATGATAACTTATGCCTTGATACCATTGTGACAAAAATGCTTAGCACTGCATACTAATACCGCAGGAAAGATGACAAAGCTAATCTTAATTACGGTCTTATAGCTCTAAGGCAAGTCATTCAATTATATCAATCTGGCTCCTATTTCAGAATATCTTATCAGCTGAAATACTGCACTGAAGTGGCTGGAAAGCATTCCCATGTTCTTAATTCCATTCTTCTAGGGCTATCTGAGAAGTTGAACTGACATGGGAAGGATTTTGAAAATCTCCAAAGATTCTGAAAAATCCAAAGCAAGGTTAATAATTAACTCTTCCATAGTTGACAAATTTTTCATAAAATCAAACTTTCAGCAGATTATTCAATAAACAAGTAAATAAATAAAAATATATTTAAAGTCTACAAAATTATGTCATTTGTATAAGGAAATGAAGTTTCTAAAATTTAAAAAGATGATGGGTTTTAAAATCACTGATGACTTATTTACTTGATTCAATGAAAATTTCTATATGATGAAGAACATGGATTCTGTCCATTAAAGACTTAGGATCTAAAACAGAAAATCATGAGATTCAGGTTCTTCTGTATTCCCTCTAAACCTCTTCTGAGTGCACAGTCCCTGAAACACTACATTCTCCTTCTCTATTTAGAGACTTCATGCATCCCCATAGCTTCAACCACTGCCTCAAAATGACTCTTAAAACTCTGTTTCTTCTTTGTGTCTCCTAATTCCAGGCTATACACAACCATGTGGTGGGAACGTTCCCCCAGATATGCTGCTGTCATTTCAACCTCAACCTGTTTTCAATGACTGTTCTACTGTCTCCTCCACGCCGCCCATCCTCATTTTCACAGAGCTATTAAGCTTTGCTAGTCTTTCTTTATAATCCCTTTCTCCTTACCTATCTCTTCTTTTTGACTGTCATTGCCTCTGCTGTAATGCAAATCCTTACTACCTTCACTCAACCCTAATGAACTCCAAGATCTCACTGAGCTCATTCTATTCCAGTATATTTTTTTTCTCTTTCTCTACATGTTTTAGAAAAGTGAAATTGCTGAATTTTGGTGACTTTACTTTATGCTTGATCTTTGAACATAGGCCCAAAGTTAAAGAGTTCCCAAAATCATCTGAATTATAGCATTACCTGAGTATTAAATGAAAATTCTCTCTAGAAAAATTTACTTAGTAAACCATACTCAATAAGCAGACTGCCTCCATGATAAATGTATACAATTTATAATACGTACAAAACTAGCAGGTTTTATTTGGACAACATATATAATATACTCACAAAATCATTTTATAAGAAAAAACACAAATGAATGCTCTAATTTACTATAATAATTTTATGACTAAAGAGGTACCATGTTGTCAAGGCTGTATCTGTCACCCTGCTTATTTAACTTATACACAGAATACATCATATGAAATGTCGGGTTGGAAGACTCACAGGCTGGAATCAAGATTGCTGGGAGAAATATCAACAACTTCAGATAGACAGATACCACTTTAAAAGCAGAAACTGAAGAGGAACTAAAGAACCTAGTGAAAAAGTTAGCTTAAAACTCAACATTCAAAAAACTAAGATGGCACCCAGTCCCATCACTTCATGGCAAATAGATGGGGGAAAAGTGGAAACAGTGACAAGATTTTATTTTCTTGGGCTCCAAAATCACTGTGGATGGTAACTGCAGTCATGAAATTAAAAGTCGCTTGTTCCTTTGAAGAAAAGCTATGACAAACCTAGACACTGCTGCTGCTAAGTCACTTCAGTCATGTCCTACTCTGTGCGACCCCATCCCTGGGATTCTCCAGGCAAGAACAATGGGAGTGGGTTGCCATTTCCTTCTCCAATGCATAAAAGTGAAAAGTGAAAGTGAAGTCGCTCAGTCATGTCCGACTCTTCGTGACTCCATGGACTGCATCTTACCAGGCTCCTCCACCCATGGGATTTTCCAGGCAATAGTACTGGAGTAGGGTGCCACTGCCTTCTCCAAAACCTA